CCCCGTGTCCCCCCAGCTCCTAGCCTGCTGTGTCCATGTCACTGTCCTGAGCAGGGGCAGGTGGCAGGCAGCAGACTGGCCGAGGTCAGCTCTGCGACATCCTGCCTCTCCCGGGGAAAGCACTCGCGGTGCTCTCAGAGAAGGCCGTCTGTGCCTGACCTTGCTCTCTGTGCTTGGGCGGGGGTCGCAGAGGGGGCCACCAAGAAGCTGCGCAGCAACATCCGCCGGAGCACGGAGACGGGCATCGCCGTGGAGATGCGGAGCCGGGTGGTGCGCCAGGGCAGCCGCGAGTCCACCGACGGGAGCACCAACAGCAACAGCTCCGACGGCACGTGAGTGCAGCGCCTGGCCACCCATGGCCGCATCCTGTCCTCCAGCACAGAGCCCGGGTCAGGCTCCATTCCTCTGCCTCCACCTCCTGTCTTCCTCTTGCTCCCATTGGAATACCCCAGAGGCCTAGGGACAGTTCATTTTACCTTGTTTCAGGAAGGGGACTCTTGCCTCCCGCCTCCCACTGCCTGCACACTACCCTGCTCCAGAGAGGCACGGGAGGGAAAATGCGATCCTTTTAAAGCTAAAACCATTGTTCAGGCTTAGAGGAGTGGCGTTTTCACAAGCAGCCTTGATTGGGGCTTAGGGAAGATTAGACTGGAACAGTGTTTTCCGGACTGGGCGGTAACTCACAGGAAGGAAAATCGGTTTAGGGGGTCAAAGCCAGCATGAAGAAAAGACAGAGGAAACTCTTATATCCAACCTAGTGACGACGAATTGGTTCATGGACGTCGGTTTCCGGTTTTTTATGTCTAGGTGCACACTGATCTACACTGGGTCGTGATGTTACGTCTTACGCATGGGTTGCAATAAGAATTGTGCAAGTCATTGAGGGATAACTTCCCCTCGATCTCTTCTGAGTCTGTTATGCTATAGTTATGTAACTACGATGCTGTGCTTCTGCGCGAGGCCCTCGGAGTCCCAGTCTCAGGACTCCGTGACTCCGTTATTTAAGACTCAGTGATCACGGGTCTCCCCGCCACACCTACTTTGGTGACTACGAGTATGCACTGTCATCTATGACAGCTTACCATGTGCAGAGCACCCCTGGGCACCTCAGATCACCAATTCTTTTTTGTATTTGTGTTTGCCGTTAGGCATGTGTGCCTGCTGGAGAGGGGCAGGGAGAGACCAAGAGAGGGAAAGTGAGAGAACGTCTCCTAGGCGGGATGACCATGCGCAGTACCTTACCCTCCAGTCTTTTCTTGGGATTTTGGGCACATGCATCCATGCACCTGGCATGATTTTCAAGTCTCCAGGTTTGGGGCTGGAACTACGGAGTTGGCCTTGTGGGAATCCAGTGCCTTCACCTCCACGCCACCTGCTGGCCCCAGATCATTGATTCTTACACTGGGATCTGCTGCAGTGATCAGAACAGGAGCAGTGAGCCATTCACACTTCCGACAACCCTGAGGGATGTGGGTACTACTGTTGTCCCTGTTTTACTTTAGAGAAACTGAGGCCTGGGAGGAGGCTGAGGAACCTTAACCTTTGACTCTCTAACCTTTGTTCACATTCTCTGCACTCTCTAAAAAGCTCCTAAAATCCTGTGACCTTGAGAGTCTAAGTTTTTGTTTTTTAAGTTTATTGACTTAGGAGACCCACCCCCCACAGGGTCTCCCCGCCATGATCCAGCCCCAGTCTGAGCCAGCTCAGACACAGCTATCTGCATATGCCCTGTGTGCTCAGGGAGGCCCCGGGATGTGAACTCAGGACCTTCCCTGTGTGGGCCCAGTTGTATTGTTACTGCCCCTCACCCCCTCTTTAAATTCATGGTAGAGAAAGTGCACATGAGAAGCACACACACACACATGTGCACACACAGAGGTGCCTTCTACAGGATCTGCTCACGCTGCGATCCCTTTCACCAGCAGGGTGGGATCTTGGACACATATGTGCCAGCGTGTTGCAGGTCAACCACGGTCAACCATGCAGCTTCCAGCACTGCAGTCCAGTGTGCGACAGGCTGTGCCCAGGCAGAGCAGAGTCTAGATTGTTCCTTACCCTCCTCAGGCTCCATGTCCTAACTATGTGATATGTGGCGGTAACGGAAAGGCCCTGCAAGGCTAGAAGCCTTTTATGGCAGGGGGCGGGGTGGATCCCTGGTTTGGCCTGAAAACCATGCCAGGTACACATGTGGATGCCCAGGATCCCCACATGTGTGGGGAAAGAGGATCATGGCATGATGAGATCCAGTTAAATGTCCCTCTCTCTCTCATGCACTTTCTATCATAAAAAGAGAAACAAATTCAGGCCAGCAGGTGGCGTGGTGGTTAAGGCACTGGACCCCCACATGGCCAACCATGGTTCAAGTTCCAGACCTGGCAGCTTGCTTTCTCACTTTCTCTCTCTCTCACTGTCTAATGGGTGTGCATGCACTGTAGTAAATTAAACACATAAAAAAAGTTAAAACTAAATAAATCTTTTTTAAAAAGAGAGAAAAAGAATTATTTTTTTCTTTTCTTTTTTTTGGAAAGTTTTTTGCTATAGGGTGCGTGCACTAGCCAGAGACAGACAGAATGTGAGAAATTACCCCCCCCCCGGGGGGGGGGTGGGCAACACTTTTCCTCCATTCTCCTCCCAGGATCTTGGGTACACACACACATGCACCCGGCATGTGTTTGAAGCCACTGGGTCCAGGACTTGAACCACTGTTGGCCATGTGGGAGTCCAGTGACGTAACCACTATATCACCAATTTTTTTGGTCCTGAATTTTTTTTTTTTTTTTTAGCTTGGGGTTGAGTCAGACAGTGGCATGGCTGTAAGATGTGGTGCTCCAAGAGGGTGACCCATGTGGGAAGGTCCCACATCCATGGCTAGAGACCTCCCTGAGTATGCCGGGCCCATGTGTGCCCACGGTTCAGGGCTGGCTAAAAGCTCAGGGTGGACCACAGCATCAAAATCCCACTGGGGTTCTCACACTCTCTCTTGCTGTTTCTCAGAAGAAATAAATAAGTTTTTTTTTTTTAAGTGGGTTGGGGGGCCAATTGGCAGTGTGGAGGATAAGGCACTGGATTCTGCATGGCCAACTACGTGGTTCAAGTCCCAGACCCAGTGGCTTGAAAATCATGCTGGCATGTGTGTTTGCATGTCCAAAAGTCCCCAGAGGAGAATGGAGGAGAGGAGTTTGTGGTGTGGCTATCCCCTTTGGGGAGTGATTTCTCACTTTCTCTTTCTCTCTCTGTCTGGGGAATGCATGCACCCTATAGCAAAAAAAAAGAAAAACCTAAAAGAAAAAAAGGGGGGTAGACCTTGAAGAGCCGAAACTGAATCTAGCTGGAGATGCAGAATCGGACAGCAAAAACAGCCCACTCTGTCCTCCCTGCCTGTCACTGGTAAAGGGGGACTCAGGGCCACGCCGGCCAACAGGGGTGATGCTCTGAGTCAGCCTTCTCTCCGGAGCCTGGGCGGTTCTTAGAACTCACTTCGGGCCATCGTAGCCCCTGAGTGACTGGGTCAACCCCTCCCTCATCTGTTCTTTCTCTGCCGGCCCCACCCGGAGCACGGAGGCCCAGCATGTGAGAAAGCAGCTTTCTCCTGGGTGACAACAGCAGTAGCTACCACTTACCGTCTGCTTGCCTGGGGCTGCTCGCGCTGCCTCTGCCCCAGCCCTCAGCACGAGCCTGTGCGCACCGTCTCGGTGCGGGCCCGCAGGTCTTCTGCTTCTTGGAGCCTCTGTTCTCCTACCTGTAAAAGTGGGTAATGCGCCCCCCACACACACACACACAGAGCAGTTGTAAGAACTTAATAATAGAAGGCGCGTGGAACGGTTAGTGCTCTGTTGGCACCTGGCCAGCTCTCAATCACTCTCGCTTTTTCTGGTTACTGTTTCCAGGCCCCCCATCGTCCTGGCCCACCCACCATCACTTACCATTCATCTCAACCCTGTAATTGTGTTATTTTGGTCTCAGTCGCTGTTTTGGGTACCACCTCACGGACTCACTTGGATTTCAAACGTATGGTCAATTCAAACCTCGATTCTTGGCGCTTGCTCCGGGCACTGGTACTTCTGACCTGTCTCTGGTTCTTGGCATTGACATCCCCTTGTGAGGACACGGATGTGCAGCAAGCCTGCCATATAAGGGTCACCTCCGAATTCCCTGCGGCTTGAGGAGTAAATACTATCGTATGTTATTTTTATTAGTCTCTTAAGTGACATCAAAGTATTTTCTTCAGGGTGCAGAAACGAACTATTCCGTTGGTCTCCAGCCAGCATAGTGCACTCACGCTGTGTAGAGAAGGGACTGAGGCCCACAGGGAAGTGCCCAGTGTCCCGGGGACAGAGCCCCCACCTCCCACCACCCGCAGGGCCACCCCAAGGCTGCGGGCCACCCTCATGCACCTCCTCTGCCTCCTCCCGCAGGTTCATCTTCCCCACCACCCGGCTTGGAGCAGAAAGCCAGTTCAGCGATTTCCTGGATGGGCTGGGGCCAGCTCAGATTGTGGGCCGGCAGACACTGGCGACACCACCCATGGGTGAGTCTTCTTGGGGCAGGGCACGTGGGGTAATGGTGGCCTCATGGCAGGAACAGTGAGCCGAGCTGGGGTCTGCGTGACATGGTATGAGCGGCAGAAAAGATGCCTTGCTTGGGCTTCTGAGCCAGCATGAACTTGGCAGAGAACTCACCCGTCTCCTCCTCAGCGGGCACGGGGTCCCTGCTCCTGCTGGCGCCTGCAGCAGCTCTTTTTAAAGTATTTTGCCAAAGGGCATGTGTGTTCACTGGAGAGACAGAGAGAGATGGTGAGAAGGAAAGTGAGAAATCACTCCCGGGGCATAGCCACGCCACCATCCCTTCCCCTCTGTTCTCCTCCTGGGGTTTTGGGTGAGTGCACACACACACATACACACACACACACACACACAGTGTGATTTTTTTTAAGTCGCCCGGTCCAGGTCTTGAACTGCGGTCAGTGACGTGGGAGTCCAGCACCCTAGCCACCATGCCACCCACTGGCCCACGCAGCAGCTTTTATAACACAATCCCTTCCTCAGCTCAGCACACACTCACCCACTTCCCATCCGCCTTCTGTGTGCCCGCAGTGCCCAGGGATGGGCATAAAACAGCACAGACAGCCGCAGTGTCGGTTCTCGTGAAGTTTATTCTAGCACCTGACCTCAGGTGAGTTCTTCCCTTCTTTGAGCCTCAGTTTCCTCATCTGTAAAATGGGCATCATAATATCCACTCTGGTTCCGCAATCTACCTGTCCACTCAGCTCCCTTAGGTGCTTCAACCCTATTCCAGTGTATTCCTCAGAAACTGGGGCTTACTCGACTGGTCCCTCCTAACAGGGCTTGGCACCTGGAAGCCTTTCCGCCATTTTCTCGTCCCTCTTCCCCACAATTAGGAAGTACTTCCGAGGCCTCCACTTGGTGCTCTTAGCAGTGGTCTGGCTCATTTTGGGAGTCTCAGAAACCCCCCTGGGTACTGGCTGGCTGGGCTTCAGCAGCTCCTCCTGAGGCCGGCTTCCCCCAGATGCTCCTTGCTCGGTCTGACCTGAGCAGGATCAGGACGTCCCCACTCGAGGTGCTCTTCGGGGGCGCTCCCTTCCCCATTAGGCCCAGTGTCTGACCTGGACGTCCCACTCAGCCCTCCTCTGGGCAGTGCTTGACCTTCTACCCTCTTAGCAAATGAGCAGGCCAAGCGGACAGTGCCCTGCTGCGTCATGCAGTGGAGCTAGGACTGTGTTCCAGCCAGGACTCTGCTCTGCACGGCCCTCCAAAGTGCCCATGTGGGCCTGGTGGTGGTGCAGTGGAAACTCAATCGGACCTACCTGGAAAGGTGCTGGGTTCACCTCCCAGGATCTCTGTGAACACATCAGGCACGTGTGCCCGTGGTCCAGACCGGCTGAGACTGGGGTGGATCACACTGTGAAGACCCTGTTGGGAGTCCCTTTATCTGTCTTTTTCTCACTTTCTTTGGAGAGAAAAAAAAAAAAAAAAGAACAAGTGCCTATACAAGAGGCCAAAAAAAAGAGCGGCCTACAGGTGCCCTCAGAGGGCGGGGGTCAGCTCTCATCTGGTTGGATTTAGCTAATCCCTAGCTCTTGCTTCAAGCTCTGGGGACTGGGGAGCCAGCCACCTCCACAAGGCCAACGCACCACCATGCTTGGAACATTTGTGTGTGGTGCCCCCTGGTGTCCCAAACCGAGAAGGACAGGTCCATTTGTTTCCACTGTTCAGATGTTACAGTGAGACATGATTGATTTTGGAGACCCTCTCCCTCCCCATGAGGAGGTCAGGAACAGCGACATGGAAGATAGATTCAGGATGTGTCCTGAACGCAGTCAGCCCCTGGCTACCCAATGAGCAAACAAACTTTCACAGTCGCTCAGAGAGTTAAAATGGGCAGCCAAACCCCAGTCTGGCCATTTAATTTTTCTGGATCAGACTTAGCATTCTGCATCCCTTTGAAGGATGCTCCGAGTGAAGACTGCTAACCCACCTTGCATGCAGCGCAGAGTTCCCAGGAATGGGAGGCGTGGGTGCACGCAGAACTCGCCCTTGCGGGTAACCCAACCTGTGAGAGCACAGTTCTCAACGAGCAGGCCCGCATCCTGTCATGTCCTGGGCAGGCTTAGAAATGGGAGGCGGGGGTGCCCGCATAACCCGCCCTTGCGGGTAACCCAACCTGTGAGAGCACAGTTCTCAACGAGCAGGCCCGCATCCTGTCATGTCCTGGGCAGGCTCGTAGCTTGGCATCAGTAGGGAAGTAAGTGGCTGTGGGCTGCTGTGCCGGAGGAGAGGAGGAGCCGCTGCATCTACCGGC